ATAGTCTTGAGCTATGGGTCCTTAAGGTGGGGGTATCGTTTTTGGGCTTACCCTATCGTTTTACAATACTTCATAGCATCGACCTAAGCAAGGCCCTCCTCTAGACTAGTTTAGTGTTCGGAGACAGTTGAAATTCCCTCATGTGCTGTCGCCTCACGCGCTTCCTTCTGAAAATTGGTGCTATCGAACCGCTGTGTTGTCCGTTGCAAATTCGGACAACAAACAATAACAAGGGCGAGTCTACAGTGCCAAAATTTCTGAAGGGTGTCGTTTCAGAAAATGTGCTGCTATCGGAGCCGCTGCGTCTTGCAGACCTTAAGACAGCACCAGATTTTCCGAAGGAAAAAACGGTGCTATCAAACCGCTGTGGTATCCATTGCAAATACGGACAACAAGCAGGGGCGGTTCGATAGAATCAACTTTTCCGAAGGGTGTCGTTTCAGAAAACTTGGTGCTATCGCACCGCTGCGTTTTCCGAAAATACGATCAGCGAAAGGCGGTTCGATGGCACCAAATAACAAAGGGTATTCTATAAGGTATTCTATAAAGTATTCCAGGTGGTATTCTGTATAGCATACTGTGTATATATATATATAGGGGGCAAAATGTAAAGTATTCTATAGTGCATTCTTTTGGATAGATATTTTCTAGGGTATTCCATACTGTCTTGTGTAAGGTAGTCTCCAGGGTGTTTTTATAGTAGAACTATAAGTATTCCATACGGGTTTGTGTAAGGTATTCTGCACGGTGTATACATATATATATATGTATATATATATATACGAAGGTGGTGTGTATATATGTATACATATATATGTCTACAGGGTATTCGATAAGGTATCACCGTATATCTTTTATAAGCTTATCTAATGTTTGTAGAAAGGGTATTCTGTAAGGTATCCTATAGGCAATGCTCCTAGATTCCCGGTTTCTTTCATAGAAATCCATTATTCAACAAGCTAACATTTAAAGCCCAAGATCTGAGAATTCACCAATTAATTTAATTGGCGAATTCTCAGATTTCCATACATACATACATACATACATACATACATACGTACATACATACATACGTACATATACATCTACATCTAAATACAAATATACATACAATCATATATATACAAACATACAAATATACACATATACACATATACATAATTACACATATACGTACACATACGTAGACATACCTACACATACACATATACATATACCTTTACATATACATATCCATATCCATATCCATATACATACCTACATACATACATACATACAAACATACATACATATATGTATATATAGTAGACCCCGTAAAGTTGGAAACCGGATGAAGGACAATTAGTGCTGGGATTCCCTATACTTTGGTCTTAAGGATTGGGGCCGTTGCATTTCCAACTTTGGGGCTTCTACTGTAGAAGTAAATAAATAAATATATATATACACACACGTCTACAAAAAATTACACACATAGTGCTATAGACAAAAATGCATAGGTACAGGTATAGGTATAGGTGCAAGTGTGGGTAAAGGTATTCAATAAGATATACGAAAATAGAGATAAAGATATAGATTCTCTATAGAGGTAGAAACCAACAACACCTAGCGAGATACAAACATAGTTAAGCATGCGCGTGTGTCTTTGCACACACACACACACAGAGACACGCAATAGAATTCAATATCATATCATATCCTACAATCAGAAAAGCAATTATCATGGACAGTGGATGCGATGTTCCTGTTTCGGACACGACACTACAGCTGGTGTTCAGCATGCCAACATGACATCCTTCGGCATTGCAGCTCGCACTGCGCTCCCTGTACGTTCCACTTGAGGACCTGAAACGAAACAGCCACTTTGGGAAAAGTGGACAAGGAGTTGCTGTGTAAAAGCATAACTTAGTTTACTACAACATGTACATACATACATACATACATACATACATACAGCGAAAGATGGCAGGGACACAAAACCTGAAACCCCCGAAGGGCAAGCACTTTTCCTGATGCCTGCAGGAGGAGCCAAAAGGGCTCACGGTGTCGGGCTCATGTTTCCTAGTCGCACACATTCTGCAAATGAGGCTCGCTTCGAGTCAAGACCCCCCTGGCGCAGAATTCTGTACTTGTGCGCCTTTGGCGGCCTTGCGCCACATGGCACGTTTTATGCCCGCTTGTCGACGGAGTTCTTGGGCTTCTGGGCTATCCACCAACGACCATTCGCCTGTAGTGAGAACCTTGGAGAGCACATGGTTGTCGGCCCACTTGGTCAGTCCATCACAGGGCATAGCTGATCCAGGAACCCACCTCACAAAGCAATTGGTGGGGTCCTCCAGTATGGCCTGTCGAAGTACGGCCACGTCCACAGCGATCTTCCTGTCCGTGGGCAGGGTGTCGCTGTTCAGTGCATCGTCGCCTGTACGGGCGTCCGTCACCAGGTACAACGGCCACTTCGCGACAGAGAGCTTCCAACTGCTCAACTTGAAGTTGTAGTCGATCAGCTCGCAGAAGACAGCCCTCACGAAGTCGCCGTGCTCGTAGCATGTCGCAAGAGCACTGACTTCGGCAGACATAGAGCACCGAACCACCCGTTGGATCTTGCTGCTGATGCCCTCCATGGCACACACCGGTGCCGGTCCTCTAAGCAAGCCAGGGGAGCCGATCATAATGAGTAGCCCACCTTGACTGTGACCCCCTGGCATGGCCCCATAGGCAGCATCACTCACCGCCACCACAACGAGGTCCTGCAAAGGACATTGAAGGTTCCTGACCTTGATGGTGACGTCCTCACGAGCTCGCTTTACGCCTTGGTTGAGCACCTTCAGGGCTGAAGAATGACCGCGTCCGGCCAACTGTTGCACGCTCGAGGACACAAAGGCAAGGTCGTAACGTCCTTGCCTGGCTGCCCAGTTCAGTTGGCCCACCACGGATCCCACCAGCCTCTTTTCGTGGTCTGACAAACCATCAGACTGCTCTGTGCCCCTATTCACAGCCTCGGCAAGATAACGAATGACCATGTCGTCGGACCCCTCACTCTGTGGCATCGAACTCATTGGCGCACGAGACCCCTCACTCTGTGGCATCGAACAATTAAAGAGACCGGGGATCGTGGTAGAAGTCGAGGGAGCTTCGTCACATGCCGTGGCTGAACTTCCGGGGATCATGGTAGTAGTCGAGGGAGCTTCGTCACATGCCGTCGAGGAACTTCCGGGGATCGTGGTAGAAGTCGATGGAGCTTCGTCACATGCCGTTGCAACTGAAGATGCACTTGGCACATTGGGAGGTTGTGGTAGTGCCTCCTCTGGTCGGGTCTTCACCAAGGGGATCGCCTTGGTATACTCGTTCATGCTGTACTCCATCTCGAGCGTCTGAGGATCCTGGCGCTCCCAGCGTCCGCAGAACTTTTGCCACCCATCCGTAGCCTTTCTCTGCTTGCCGAACTTGAGCTTGGCGTGGAGTTCGTCCCACAACTGTTGACTGCTCTCATCCCCGGCGTACCTGGTGTCGTCTACATGTATCGAAGCCATCGCCCTGAGCTTCCCGCATGGGTGGAAAGCTCGGAACAAACCAGGAACCAAGGCCAACTCCTTTAGCCCCAAGCCTTCGATCGTGTCCTTGTACTCCAGGTACCACAGGCGAGGGCTTTCTGGAAGACCGAAGCCCCCTTTGGTGAGCTCCACCAAGTCGGGACGAACTCCTCCGCCCAGACCCTGAATCAAGAACTCTGTCACGGCAGGCGGGTATCCATGGGGAACCTTGACAAACACCTTCTCAGCCCTCGGCAGCTGTTTCCCCTGCAAGAAGGCTGCACTCACGTCCTCGTAGTACACCACCCATCGCATTTGCACGGCCACAAAGTTCAGCAAATTGTGGCCTAGTACACTCGCGGTAGGGGATGCTGTGGCGTACAGCCCGGCGTCTGGATCGCGATGTCCTCCGAACACCCATCGCGCCTTTAGTTCGGCCTCACTCAGGTTCTCGGCCCCCTTGTTGGTCAGGACGAAACGGGAGCCAATGACCCGGGTCGGATCCACCAACTGATCGGCCGGCACACCTTTTATCCCTTTGTGCTCCAGGTAAACGCCAACGGCCTTCTTCAGGGGCTCAACAAATGCATCCCGCCAAGCAGCGTCGAGGGAGGACCACTTGTATTCCACACGGGCTCGACCCGTGGTAACTTCCGTCACCCCCTCCATCTCCGCCTCTTGCACCTTGCGGCTGACTTGCACCAACACCTCGTGGTCGGCCAGCAACGAAGGTGCACTCCACAAAGCCCACTGTCCTACAGTGTCATTGAGCATGGCCTCCATCTCCCCCGGGCGGAACAGGTGCTCGCAGTCATCTCCAGCATGCACCATCATCACGGTGCGCACCTTGCTGCGCTCGGCCTTGTTGGTGTGTCCCCCATCGCCACGACTGCGACCACCAGAGGACTTGCTCTTGCCCATGATCACCTTCTTCACCGACTTGAACTTCGCGTACGAATCCTCGAGGTGCTTGCGGATCCCGGCCTCTTCGAGGGTTGAAGGTGGGTTGAGCTGCTTGGCCAACTCTTCAAACAGCTTCTGCTTCTTCTGGAAGTCCAAGGCGTGGGGGTCCTGGGTGGACTCCTGCTCCCTTTTGCGCTTATCGTCGAGGTTGCGGGCCACCGAATATGGAAGATCATCGAGGAGCTTGGCTCTTTCTTCCCGTTCGGCTCGGGCCTCTGCGTCCTCCTCCGGGAGCTGCTCATCGTCCGCAGAGGAAGAAGAAGACGAGGACGATTCGTCTGGAGCATTGGCTCGCCCCGCTCCGTCCTCCGTGGGCATTGTTCCATCGTCTTCGGCTTCAACCCTCAACTGACCGCCCTGCAACTCCTTCTCGACGTCTTGGACGGCCTGGGTCACATAGTCCGCGCTGGTCATCTCATCCACGGTGGCCAATCGCAGCTTCTGGAGGGGAAAAGCTTTGACCCTCCCCCTGACACGGACCCATATTCGTTGTGGTATAGGCTTGTCTCTCTCCACACAGACGATGATGCCTGGGCCGGTCCAGCTGCTGTTGTCTTGCATGCGGCGTGCAAGGCCTCGGCGGTTGGCTGGTGGATCATACACATACACAGTGGCGCCTTCGCGGACCCCCTCCATATGTGGTGGTCGTGACCTTGAAGCCAAGGCCCTCCTCAAGGCATCGTGGCTGTCCAGCCAATGGAAAGCCTCGATGGCCCCAATGCGTATCCTCTCAGCCCGGGCCACTGCCTCACTCGTGGTCGCGGCCTCGTTGTACTTGAAGCGCACTTGTCCGGAGGATAGCTGCTGCATGAGGGACCCGGGGATCATGTTGTTCCGACCCGTCACTGCTTGCATCGGTGACACACCACCCCTGTTGAGGGTCCTGTTCTTTGCTGCCACGGAAGCCAGCAGGGCATGGCGCATGTCCTTGAGGCCCTTGAGGCCCATGCCCTTCACCAACTTCATGACCATGAGCTTCAGCACAGCTCCGTGCCGCTCCGCCTGGCCCAAACGCCACTTCGCCCCTTCGGGCGTAACCTCGTGTACCACCCCGAACAGATCCAACATGGCCTCCAGCCCGCCTTTGAACTCGCTCCCTCCATCCGTGATCAGCAAGTCAGGAGGGCCAAACACCGACAACCACAAGTCCTGGAAAACTTCCCTCGCAAACGAAGAGTCCGGAGTGTCCGTGAGGTCTCCCACCTGGTAATCCGTGAGGGCGTCGATGAAGTGGGTGGCCGCAAAGCGCTGTCCACTGGCATCCCATATAAAGAAGCTGTCTCCTGACACTCTTTCATTGAAGGAGCGAGGTTTCTGATAGGCCACTTGTGGAGTCGGCAAAGGCGGTCGGGTCATGGCGCACACTTGGCATCGAAGGGCCTGAGCCAGTTGCACAGCGGCCTCCTTTGCTCCACTGAGCCGCAGCATGCGGGACAGCCTTTCGTTGGATAAGTGGCCCATCGTAACATGGAGATGGGCTACGAGGGCACGTAGGCGGCGAGGTTGCTGATTTGCGGCACCATCATAACATATGAAGTCGTACCTCTCGCCTGTCATGGAGTGCCGCGCCAACTCTTGCCTCAAGCCCTCGTCCGGGACCTCGTGGCTGGCCACCGCCATAGTCTCCCAGCCTGCCCCCGAAGTAGCCGCATGGAGCTCCCAATCGGTGGCTGCTGTGGCATGGCCCCTTGCTTCATCCGCGGCTTGAAGAAGTGCTCGGCCGAACTTCTCTGGCCATTTTGCGGCCTCATCCGAGCGTCGTGCCCAGCCGCGCTCTGGTGGCCACAGAGTCCATGCTTGCAGTAGGTCCCCTTTAACAGGTACTTGAGGAACTCTCCGTTGTTCGCCTCAATCACCATCGTCTTCTCGTAGGGCTGGCGGGTCTCAGGATCACACAAGCCAAAACTACACATTGGCACATAGGCTCGATGAACATTCTCGCGATCCTGCATGAAACTGAGGTGCATGGCTTGGGACAGAGCGGGCTGTGTCACCACCACCAAGGTGCCCGCCTCGTCTTGTAGCCGCCATACCTCGGCCACCAGCCGCCAGAAGGGTAGTTGGAGCCGTCGCCGTTCCCACAACTCATCTTGACGTAGTCCCTCGGAGCTCTGTCCACACCACGGACCGCATGGAGGATCCAAGGTCACGAGGTCCGGCTGGCACTTCTTGATCCAACCCAACAAACTCTTCTGATCCTTCGGCTGCGCGAGATCCCAGCCATACTTCTTGTCCACCGGAGGACACGCCATCCACTTGTTCCCGCCTCGCGCCACCTTTGTCAAAGTGGCGCTGCCCGCGAACACCTCCATCATTAGGCGCTTCCCCGGGTCCTTGATCACGGCCTCCATGGTGACCATCACCTCCTTGACCTTCTGCAAGCCCCCCTTGATCTTCTGGTGGAGTCCGCGGTTCGGGCGCCTCAGACTTGGCTGGCTCACATCAGGCCCCAGACGTCCGGAGCCTGCATTCGTTGTCGCATCGCTCCGAAGTGTCCGAACAGGGACGCCACCTCCTTGCCGAGAAGCATCGCCAGCCATCGCGGATTCCTCTTCCAGCGGCGGTTGCCCTCGGCCTCCACAGCAGCCTTCACCCTCGCTTGCCACACAATCTTCTTCCACAGGTACACCCGCATTCTGCTCGCCGTGGAAGCCACTAGGTTCAGGGCAACCTCGTAGCTCCAAGCATGGGACAGCGAGGGGTAGTCGGCCTGGATGCCCGTCAGAGCTTTCCGCTGGATCGCCTTCGCCTTGGCTGTCGCCTGACGGGTGCGTCTCTTGGCCAACATCTGCATCTCCTCCTGGGTGAGACCGGCCACGCCCTCCAAGTTCTCGGTCGATTCCACATCTGGTGCCGTGCTGCTCGCCCCCGGGGTCGCCGTGGTGCTCGTCGCCTTGCGTCCCCGAAAGGTCGACTTGCTGTCCGGGCGCGGTGGTGCCGTGCGCCTCGGCAACGTCTCCTCCGAGAGGTCCAGGTTCATGGGCACCCGCTGGAACTCGCCGTCCGACACCTCCTCGATCTGAGGGCACTCTCGGGTCTTGTGATCCGAGCTCTGGCAAATCTTGCATTTTGGAGGAGTTGTCGAGGCCATGGGGTTGCCGAGGAGGTGGGCTTTCGCTACTTGCTCGCTCCTGCAAAACTGAAGCGTGAATCGGCACAGCATCATGTCCACTCTCCACACGAAAATCTTCAGGTAGACAGGCACAATCAGGCTCGCAATCGTCAACATTCAACGTGTAATGGCCACTGTCCTGCCCCACCCCGTAGTTCTTCACCCCAAGCTTCCTCGAAGACACCACATGACGCTCACAATCAATCACTGCTGCCAACTGAGTGCACCCCGATCTCGAGAAAAGTGGTGGACAACTCCCTTCAACAATGCTAAAGGCGAAGACTACCGGCTTGCCAGCGAAGCTACCAACAAACGACAATCGAAATCGACTCCGTAGTAACTCTCCACCACCGAACTTGAACGTTTCAGTTTCCGGGTCCACCCGAAACCACCGGTCTTCGCGCCTCCACCTTGCCACAAGAAGATTGGCCCACTGCACCCCAGCCACCGACCTCATGCAACCGATGTCTAGGATGATCTTAAAGGCCAGATCTTGGACGGACCACAACACATCGTACCCCTCAACCTCAATCACTCCGAGCGCTGGATATGCACGACGGACCTTGTACTGCGAAGAGGGGCCTCGCTGCGATCCTCCCGAGCTCGTTGGCTCAGCACGGCAAAGTGACACAAGCAGATCCCACTCGCGATCATCGTCCTCCTCGGGCACCTTTGGGAGCTGCCGAGTCCTCGCCACGAGCACTTGTTGCGGCTTGCTGGTGGAGCCCCCTTTTGGATGAGGACATTCCCTGCTCCAGTGCCCCAGTTCGCCGCAGTTGTGGCAAGGATTCACTTTCATCTGCTCCGCCAAAGCCTTGCGCTTGGTGTCATTGTCCGGCTTGCGGTAATACTGCCGGAGCTTCTTGACTTCAGCTATCTTCTGCTTCGCCTTATAGTGCATGCCGAAGGCCTCGTTCTCGCGCATCAGCAGCTCGGGGGGGATGTCCGCCTCCTCGTAGTCCTCCTCTCCTGGATCATCCTCGAAGAGCTCATAGCCCTCCCCGCCTTCTGCTGCAAAAGAGTGACGGGCCAACCTGCCACCGGGGGTGCCACTGGCCTGTCTTCCGTTCGCAGCTGAGCCGCCCAGATTGGCGAGTCGTGACCTTGTGTCACCCCTTTGCAGAAGCCACTCCTCGCCATTCTTGGCCATGTTGGGCTCAGACATTCCCAAGGGGTATCCCGGCTCGCCTTCCAGCTCCGTGGCCAGTTCCACCATAGCACAAGTCACGAGGTGCTCGTCCACGTCCGTGCCCGCCTTGGTCTTGATCATCGCCTTATCCCTGCGACTCAGGTGGGCATGGTCCAGCAAGTGCCCCACGTAGAACGCCTCGCCCATGGACAAGGTGCTGTCCAAGCCCAGCAACTGGGCCCTGTACAAGGCCGCCCTCGTGATGTAGCTCTCGATGGACTCGTGGGGTGCACGGTTCAAGTGCATGAGCCGCCGGCGGTGTTCATCGATCTTGTGCTTGTCCACCTGACGTATCAATGGAGACCGCTCCAGCTCCTTGAAGATGATGTCCTTGCCGTCGGGGCCATTGACATCCTTGTTGCTCAGCCTCTTGACCAACTGGGCTGCCCGGTCCCGCAGTTGGACCATCATCCGGGGCCCAATCAACTCCGGAGGAAGTTGCCCTCCTTCTCCCCCAATCCAGAACTCCACACTGCGCTTCCACTCGCTATAAGACTCCTGGGGCCTCGCTCTGAAAACCGGAGGGCAGGTGCTCGACACCCTACCTCCACTCTGCTTCTTCTCCCCATACTTCAGAACGTCGTCCTCGCCGACCACCTTCACCGTGCCCTTGGAGTCGCGAAGCACCTCGGAGCCGTCGGGGATCGGGTTGTAGAGCTCCTCAGCCGGCTCGTCCTCGACGTAGAGAGCCTGCTGCTCCCATTTGGGCTGCCTCTTGGGCCAATGATGGCTGAGAGCCTCGCCACCAAGGCTCCCTTGACGAGAGCATCCCGTCTTCCAGCTCCAGTTCTCATGGTCTTGACTTCGAGCTTCCCAATCCTTCTCGCCTCCATTGCCATCCCAGCTCCAATTCTCGTAGTCGCGATGGCCCTCGCGACCACCTCGTCCTTTCCAACTCCAGTCGTCTCCTTCCTCCGCCTCATTCCAAGCATCCCGCGCACCCACGTAGGAGCCGTCCTCGGACCATCCGTCCCACACCGGCTGCCGTACTGGGGTAGAACCTCTGCTGCCGCGCTGCCACCGCGGCCCTTCACTGTGATCCCTGGAGTCACTCGAGATGCCGCCAGTCCCAGCATTCTCTCCCCGCTCCACGTCACAGCCGCTCTCCTCCAGCTGTTCGGATTCCCCATTCGAATCGCTCAAAACAGCTTGGCCGAACGACTCATAGTAGGACCGCATGGCCCCTCCCACAGGTCACACGCACTGACCCAAGCCCTCGACAGAGGGTTCTTCCCCACAAAACCAGAAAATCACCAAACCCAAAAAACTCGCCGGTAACACCGTCCAGGATCGCACCCCGGAGCTCCACAAAGCGCGCTCGCCGTCGCCGCCCTGGATCGTCACCTGCTCCGCTGCCAGCGAAAGATGGCAGGGACACAAAACCTGAAACCCCCGAAGGGCAAGCACTTTTCCTGATGCCTGCAGGAGGAGCCAAAAGGGCTCACGGTGTCGGGCTCATGTTTCCTAGTCGCACACATTCTGCAAATGAGGCTCGCTTCGAGTCATACATACATACATATGTATATATATATATGTATACATACTTACGTTTTGTTTGTACACTATAGATCACGATAAAAGATCCTAACATACTACAGCACATCAAAGCATATTCTACGCGAAGCAAAGCTGCCCCGGGCTCCTGGAACTGCTGACCTTCCGCCTTGGATTTCGCCAGGCGCTCGGAACCTCCGAGGCTTCTGGGCTCGCGCAGCAAATTGTACTATTATTGTTGCTACATATACATAATATGTATGTATGTATACATATATAACATAATTTGTCATATTATGTAGACTATGTCCTAAGCACGAAAGATATTATCAGAATATCCTAGACTGATGTGTGGATGAACAGGACTACTTGCACGGTTAATTTGTGAAGTGCTCGAGGCGGAGCTGTCGGTGCCAGGAGCTTGTGATGAACATTCCCAAGCCTCTACGTATTTGCTCTGATCGCAAATTTCCTCCCATTTCAGATATCCGAACGCTGCTCGGCTGACCGTGCCTGCCAAATCCACGAAGCTCAGTTGCGTCTGCACACCTGATGAAGCCAAGACTTTCGGGAGGTGACACCAACTAATCAAGGGAGGTGACAAATACCACAGAGGTTCGGAAAACGAGAAAAGCCTCGACACCCAACTGTAGCTCTACACATCTGAATGTGGCCCTTTGCACATGCGAGTCCGGCACCGTCCGCTGTAGTGACAGGTAGCTGCACGGTAAAGACCGTATGCGAGCGGGAAGAGCGGACGTTGGACTCCTCACGGACATCAGGCCATTAAAACGTGTCTTTACATGCATGTATGTGTGTATAAGAAATACATACACAATATCCTGATGGGATTCGCCTGGGCTAAGACGCTTCCATGTAAATCCATCCATACATCCATACATCCATACATCCATATGTCCATACATCCATACATGCATACAAACATACACTCATACACACATACATACATACATACATACATACATACATACATACATGCATACATTTATTTACATACATGGGATATACATGATATATGCATACACATCTTTGCATAAAGATATACGGACATACGGACATGCATACATAATGCAACCATTCCTGCATTCATGCATGCATACACGCATACATGCGGGCATGCATCCTCACTTACATATGTACATACATACACCATGCATCCAAGCATCCATGCATCTCACACATCCATACCTCCTTACATACCTACAAGCCTACATACTTACATCCCTACGCACCTACACGCCTACATACAGACCTAAATACATACATACATACATACATACATACATGCATACATACATCCATACATCCATACATCCATACATCCATACATGCATACATGCATACATGCATACATACATGCATGCATACATAATTCGTGCGTACGTACACGCAGACATAAGTGTGCGTGCACGTACAGTACAGTGCAGTACTAACAGACGGGAGACAGACATGCTGCTCACGCCATTCTGAATGCTCTTCGGCTCAAGGGGCAACACTCAGCAACATGTCACAATGGCGCGACATGAGCTCGTGTCCGTCAAGGCTGTCGAACGACGAGCTAGACCAGCACGCACGATGCGTGAAACGTCGGCCAAGTCTCGCACCTCATCAGCAGAAGGGACTACCGAAAGGTATCTGCAAGGCAGCCTGTCAATGCTCCAGGGAGGACAAGGCGATAGTGGAGCTTCCCTTCAGCACTATCGATCTGAGCTCTCAGCTTTGAGCTGCGCAAGCCCCTGCGAGAAGTGTTCAGCATAAGCGAGACGGGCAAGATGGGAGAGACAATCGGATGGCTGAGAAACATCTGCAAAGATGGCATGCCGCCCTGAGACACATGGTAAAGAGGGAATTTATGTCTTGGCAAATCCCGAGATTTCTACTACTCGCAGGTGCGACTATGATTCTGTCGGCATGCAGGCGAGACAAGGGCGGATCAATCCATGCGACAGCGCCATGTCTATGAGGCGACAAACAAGCCCAAGTGCCCAGACCCGAAGTCTGAAACATCCCGAAACCAAACAAAGGATCAGGTGGGCGCCTGGACCTGGATCGAGCCATCCGGAGTTTCTCGCAACACCAAATTCTGTCCCCCTTGGTCTCTGTCGGCGATTGCGCCTCCCATGGGATGATTGTGCTCTGAAGTTTGCCATTGCAGTTCCACACCCCATCTATGCACCTAACAGGTTCAGGTGCGCGTGCAGGAAGTGGCCTAGGGCTAAACTTCTTGTAGCCCACACAATCTCTGGCCGCTTTCTGTCAAACAGCTTAAGAAGTCTGGCAGCAGTGCATAAGGGACCTTGCGTGGCGAAGCGTCTCAGCTTGGGCCGCCTGTGCACTGCCGGCTCTCCTGCTCCCAGGGCGACTGTCGGCATTCAGAGGTCCGTTGTACACATTTCGGGGTGTGGAATCGTAGAACATCCCGTCTGGGCTTCTGCCTCTTGGAAGCTTCTGTTCGGCGGCTAGGCGAGAGCTTCTGTCAAGCGGGGGCTGGTCGTATGCTCGCAGAAATCGCGTGACGTAGTGATCGACGGTGTCATGCGTTCACATACGAAAGACTCGCAAGAACACCAAACATGTGAGTGCACTGGATGAGCGGTCAAGCACTTCCGACCTGCAACTGCTATCGAAGGACCACAGACAGCATAGCATCCATGATTATACATGTGCAAAGCATGGAAGTCCCATTACGAGGACAGGAACTCGGAACTCATTTCGCAGGGCCAGTCCAGAGCTGAACTGCCGACCGAGCTAAGATGAAACCTCGGAGTGAGTGGAACAACGTTGTGGGAGACTCCAAAAGAGGAAGACTGAGACGGTGGAGCAATGTGTGAACATGTGTTGAAACAACCAGGAACAGGGAAAGGAATCAGGTGTAAGAGTCCTGCTATTGAGTACTTTCAAACGACGGAATAAAAAAAGCGACAGGGTTATATACTTGTGTGCCCACAAGCAGACGTCAACCTGAAGTATGGCTGCGCACGGGGACAGGGGAGAGTCACCACACACCTTCGTCGAGACAAACCACGGGAGAACTGAAAGCCGCGAGTCGGAGATATCACCGGCAGGTTGTTAAGGCTCGCAAAGCTCGCTTCTCTAAAACCGCGAGCTTCGCAAACAGGTGAGGTCTTTTTGCGACAATAACTGCAGGCAAATATGAAGAAAAGGCAAACAAACATTAAAAAAACGACACGAAGTAAATGCGAAGAGTCTAGATTCATCTAGGACACCCTGCGGGACGGACATGATTTACAATTCCGCTCGGCAATGACGAACAAAAAGCGGCTGTGCTTGCCGTTTCGGATATAACCTCAGCGAGTGTTGCAAAACAAGTTCGAAAGCAAATGTGGGCAAGCTCTTCGTGCAAAGCGTTCAGTGTCAGGTCTACTGGCAATCACCTCATCGCACTCGGCAACATCACTGGAGGGATACGGATAAACGTCTCAACCCCTAGTCTCTGAATCTCTTGCGACGTGAGGAATCTCGCCCCCACAGGGAAACAAATGCCCTGCACTCGATGTGCAGGAGAGCACATTCCCAGCCTCCATCATCTTTGGCAGGGCCACCACTCCTGGCATGGCTATCTGAGTAGTCTGCGGCATAAGACTAAGACTGACTGCTCGCCATGACTCTCTGTCGCGAAAAACCAGTCTCTCTGTCCAAGCGACGGCATGGAATGAAATCACCGAGCAGCCCGGCACCAAAGGAGGAGAGACGGAGGGAGGACAGACGCACTAATTGCTGCAAAGGCTCGAAGATCTACGGGGCGTTGCATCTTCAGTTGCCTGCAGCTGGAGCAAGAAGCAAAACGAGGAGAGGCCCTACTCCCATCCTCTATGAAAGCACTCCGAACAGCGCGTGTTCACACGAAGGCACGAGGACCCCCGCCCTGAATCTCGGCTGCGCCTGATCTTCCATGCTGCTACCGAAGCCGAGATCCCGAACCTGAGAGGGTAGGCATCTAGGAGCACTCAAAGATTTATGGCAGCAAGTCGGCCGCCCCAGTTGTGCTTGCAAGGCCGCACCTGGTCCATGTAGACTTCCAGGAAGCTTACCTTTGTAATACAACGACAACTCAACATAATCAGATCTGACAATGGGGCAGAGCAGATGCCTGCCGAGGCACTGTGATGCCGTCCAACTCCTCTCCATCTCTGCTTGCCTTCTGTGCCTAGCAGACTCTCTATCAGCGAGACAGGATTCTGGGGTAGCTTCCAGAGTCGTCAGGCTTTCAGATCTCGGGCTCAGGTTAAGCGGACACTGGCGATGCGTTTTGACAGAAGAAGCATCCCTGGCCGAGCAGGGACCCGGCGCATCCGTGCATCAGCCGTTCCATGGCTCGCGGGAGGAGGCCCCTCTCAGTCGGGCTATCGTCCTGCGATGCGCATGGAAGCATCAATCTCTAGGGTTTCTAGGGCCTATAGGGGCCGAGCATTGAAAAACTCAATGGTGTCATGTTTGCAGCACGACAGCAGCTACATGCAAACTCCAGGCCATCGAGTGCAGAAGTGGCCCGAGCGCGACAACGGCCAAAGCTCTCCTCGCCAAAGATGGAGTAGGTCTTGCCCGAGCCAGTCTGACCGTAGGCGATGACACAGCCACTACCTAATTTGTCATACGAGTGACAGGAGATTTGGGAAATCGAGTTTCATGAGGGAACAAAGACGAAAGCAACCGATCTTCGTCCAACTTAGCCGGCGACATCTCCACACACACTTCTTTGTCGGACGAAGGCTTTACGATTGAGAACTCTGTGTCGGCTTCTTGCATTCAGGAGAGGGAAGTATTGGGTGCTCTGATTTTGCTGCCGAAGTGCGTCCCTGAAGGGCGCCATCCTCGGTCAAGAAAGTCTTACATCAGGCTCTGATGTTCCACTATACTATACTATACTATACTATACTATACTATACTATACTATACTATACTATACTACTGCGGTAGGACGAAAGTTCGTCGCACTCTGTATGTCGCTCCTGTGAACAGGGACGAACCCCTTTTCCCCCGTAGACTCCTGCACCAAGTCCTCCGTCTGGAACATTATAGTAGTATAATTTTATTCCAGGGGATTAATTCCTCCGCTAGCCAGGCCA